AGGAGGAGGTGATTCTCCGCTCACAGTGATTGCCAACACTTCTCACACAAATAATCTCATCCTTGGCCAGTGTGTATGTGTGTGTCTGTCTACAACTCTGGATATGAGCAGGTATCTCTGTACTTAACTTAAGATGTTCCTGTTAGATTGGACATGATGCCGGTGCCCTAGAAAACCACTGCACCTTAAACAGAGCCAGCTAGCATGGAGCTGAAATTCCTCCACCAGGTCCTAGTAACAGTGGTCGGCCTAGAAAATCCCAAGCAGTTAATCCAATTTCAGTCAACACACCGGGATCCTGAGTATTAAATCCAGTTAGAGTTAACACACAGAAATGCCATTTACACACTGAAGATAGAGATCAGCAGCCTGAATCTGTTAATTGACATAATTTTGTGATATTTGTGAACCTAACTCAGACAACTGTGCAAATTGTATGGTTGTTGGAGTACAGATATTAGTAGACTCATGCAAATGTCAGGAAATACTACAATCCTGCTCCTGTCCCACCCTACCTGCTTTTTCTCACTTAAATGCCTGTTTTTTTAATGATGTTGTCATAATGGTGATGGTGAGTTGGGGACACTGTGTTAACGTGGTTACCACTGTATTGTGTTTTCACATTTCAACATGCAACGTGCTGAGTGATAGCTGGCCCATATCATTATCCAATGTACAAAGCTTTTTATAATTACTGTAATCTTAATGGCTTCAATATCTCTTTCTAATATAGGACATTTTAATGCTGGATATTATACAGTGTCAAATTTCAAGTAACACTCCATTTGGATATCTGGTGCTGATTTGTTTACAGCGACTTTGTTTTGGTCTTATTAACGTTCAACAGACCTCTAGTCCTCATGTGTTCCAGTGCAGCAATAATATATGAGTAGATCTCATAATGTGACATGCATTTACTGTAGGAGCTGTAATTAGCAAGCTTACTAGCTCTAATTAGTGGGTTTAAATGGAGGAAAGCTTTTTGCTAGCTGTCCTTTTGATGTGTGTGGGAGATGTAATGCAAAAGAAGGAGCTTTTGTTCTGTTTGTGTGTGTGTGTGTGTGTGTGTGTGTGTGTTTAAAAGAAGGGCATGAACAATGACTGAACAGCATTTTGTGCCTCATGACATGTTAGAAAGGGTAAACTGATCATGTCAAAGGTTAAAATAAAAAAAAAACAACTGTTTGTTGATGAGAGGTGACTGATCAGTTTACTTCCCCCTGTTCTCATCATGTGGCTCAGTCTGGGTCGTTCCCATATCTGGTGCAATCTAATAACAGTTGTTCTGTGAGAAGCATGAAATGAGTCTCCTCATGCACAAGCCTGTTTAGCTTGCATGGTGTGACGTGCTGACAACCATCTTTGATTGAAATGTTGTCAGTCATGCTCACAGTATGAGTAAAAATCAACTGGGAGCATCACAGCAGTATACACACATTTATTTATTTATTTATTTATTGCTCATGTCATTACTGATCACCTGCAGAGCACTTTTAATTGTGCACATGCTGTTTTTAAAATAAAAAGTGATATAATCATTTTTTTATTTGTGTCTTTATCTTTGCCAGCCATCTCCTCGTTTGATTGTTCACTCTATGTTTTCAGTAAATTTGTAGTAAAGTGTTCTGCAGTGAATTGTGAGTTATTTTAAATTGAGCTTCATCTTGCCCATACCCAAAGACAACTAGAAGGAAAAAATGTCTATTTTTTCAGGTTCCAGCTAGAGAGTTGATACCTGAGGCAAGCTCGATGGGACCCAACGCTACCAGATAGTTCAGGCCAGGCTCGGACAGACATTTAGAAATTATGTTCTGGCCCGGATGAGGTTCGGACATGTAGGTCAAAGTTTAGGCTAGACAGCAGGAGTGCTCAAATGTCTTCTTTGTTTAATGTTCGGACATTATATACAGTAAACTTGTCGGGTATGGGTCGTTTTGGACAGAAATATCCAGCCTGATCCATGCTTCAGTTCCAACTTCCTAAATTTCAGAATTTGCTGTTTTTCCTCATTATCTGTAAATGGAATTAGTTGATGAATTGATAGTGCTGCTACAGCCTCAGTCTTGGCAACAAATTGAATGGTTGCTGGTTTTCTTAATCTTTTATAATAACAAACAGAATCTTTGGGTTTTGGACTGTGAGAGAAACTATATTTTTAGACCAAATGCTTCATTCGAGATGATGTTCAGTAGATTAACTGCTAGTTGAACTTAAGTATTCAGCCTTACTGATGATACTGTTATTCATTTAGGAGCTAATGGGCTAAATGCACCTGTAGACTGACTTGTCAAGAGTTTGCCGAGGCTTTTACAGCCTCCACTGAATGTGAAACTGTAGTGGCATTTCTTTACGGTAGTTGTAATTTAGTGCACAGTTTCCTGTGTCAGTAATAAAAATCATTCATATTTCATACAACCTCATTTATGCTTCTCCTGCTTCTTGTTCTGTATGTGCAGTGGCTGTGAGACAGCTGGGATGGTGGAGCAGTACTGAAAACCAGATTTACAGTCTGCTTTCCTTCTCGACTGACTGCTTTACTGGTTTACTTGACTAACTTTGGTCTCCGGGGCAGCAGGTCACCCTAAGCACAGGGCAACCCGTTGACCCTGTTGGTTTACTGTACCTGGTAGTCATTTGTATTCAGCTTTAAGATGAATACAGCTAATTGTTCTTCTCAGTGAGTGTTTTGCCTCGAGTGAGCTAACAGCAGAAATGGGAGTGTCTGTGCCACTTGGCACAGCCGGTTTTAGTTGCACACAGACATGAAAACTAGTAGGCACACGTGCATCCTCTTGCTATAAGATATGGGTACTGAGAGAGGGTGTATTTCTAGTAATATGATCCCCTGGGAGAAGTCGTGCAAGCTGTGCGTGAGCTTCACTGTCATTTGTTGCGTGCTAGTGCATGTTGTGTACTGTATTCAGCTGTACAAAGCCTGCACTGTGGTGAGTGTGACAGGTACTAACTGGTACCTCACTGGTACCCATATAGTACCAGTGAGGGTCTATGTATGACAAGATCACACTGTCATGGACATGCTTGTGAACAGATTTGCTGTCTGAAGGTGTGGGATAAAGTGTTTTAGTGTGTCTAAGTTAACCTGGATTAACAGGACAAACACACACAGAGCTGGAGGAGGAGCCACACCTGAGACTGAAATGAGCTTCTGAGCGTCGGAATGGGAACAAGCGTTCACTATGCCTTCCAGCCTACAGAAAACAAGATGAACCCTCAGTGATTCCTGCGGAGGAGTCAGGTGGTTCTAGCGGCAGATAATGAGACTCAGCAGAGGAAAATGTTTGTTTTCATAGGGAGCTGAGTGATGGGTTGTGTTTAATGAAGGAAGGGATGAGCCGATCAATCAGCCACTGGTCATAATTGGCAAGCAGACATTCTGAATAGGTCATTTGCTACCTGATGCACAGAATAACATCATTTTGTGACTTTCTCCTTTACTGAAAGATTAAATCATGCAGTAGTAGTGACTGCTGTGTGTCTAACAAAGCAGTTGGGTTTGCTGACACTTTGTATAATAATAATGAGGATGAGCTAGAAATGCTGTGTTGTCTAACATATGCTATTTATTTTTTTTTACATTTGTCTCATCTTGTTTGTTATTTGAAGATTCAAAGAACACATTATTGCTGGAGATTAAAACACTTGAATAAAATCTGTTCAATATGTCACTTCATGTGCATTGTGTGTTATTGTAGAACATGTTGAAAGACATTGTGTTTACTAGTTTCAGCTTGGTGTTCATAACTGTGCAAACCTCAACCTCAAGCTAATGTTGTGTGATTTGGCACTGAGACTGTTTAGCAGGGACAGACCAACCGGTGGGAATAGTTCATTTCACATCTTTGACAGATGTACTGAAAAAGAGTCCACTCCCGTTCTTTTTTCATTTGCACCTGCAGCTGTAAAATATAGAAAGAACTGCATCTTTAAACCTGTGGATGATAAAACGGCGATGGGGAAATCAAAAACTGGTTCCCAGCATCCATTTAAATGTCATTAAGTTGAGATAAATTATTGTTAACTTTGGGGTGATCGTGTCAACAATGCTGATAGACTGAGTAGAGTGTCCCAAATTATTCTTGGCCAAGTTATCCAGCCAGCTCAGATGGCTGTTCAGAGTAACTGTGCAGCTAAAGCCGACACGACTCAGCAGCAGAACATTTTCCATCTGTACCAGTGTCTTTTATTTATTTATTTTTACAGCTCCACCACTGAGGAGCGTTTTTCTTGAAATGCAGATCTAACATTCAAATCACACGATAGTGACTGGGAAAGGAAACATGCATCACATGACATTGCTGTTACCGTCTTTGGTTCACTGGCCAAAGAAATGAAGATCTCACATGGCTTTGGCTGATAAATCCTGGCTGAATTGAAGCAAACAAATTTAGACCCCGGCCAGTAAATTGACACTATCCAGTTTATCACAGAAGAATTAAATCAGTGTAGAGCCACGACTGGTTGATTGATCGTTCAATGGTGTTAGACTGAACTTTGTCGTCTGGGTATCAGACGGTTAATGGAATAAAACAAGACATTGGAAAATGTCGACTTGGGCTTTGGGAAAATGTAATCGGTTTTGTTTTCCTGACATTTAGGATTTTATGATTCATCTATTAATGAGAAAACAGGAGACACATTAATCAATATTGCTGGTTTCTATAAAAAAACCACAGTAAAAACATGTTTGATGTAGATTAGAAACTGTTTTTTAAGTGTTCACTCAGTATGCACCTTGATTACAGCTCATTTAAAACAAAGTAAAGAAAGGAAAATGTTTTCTGTGTCACATTAATCTTGGTATGTAAAAAAAATAAAAATAAATAAATGTGAATTTTAATCTTGGTTATTGGTATTAGCCTCAAATATCCAGTATCATTCAAGATAAAGGCTAAACCACACACTGTATTCTGGGTGTGTTGTTATTACCCTCTTTAACTCTTGATTTCTCACCCCCTCCTCCTCCTCTTTCTTCTTGTCAGATGATGAAGCATGCGTGGGACAGCTACAGGCACTACGCCTGGGGTTCCAATGAGCTCAGGCCCGTCTCTAAGCAAGGCCACTCCAGCAATCTGTTTGGTGAGTGAGAGCCCACACGCAAACACATAATTGATCTCTTGTCCCTGCCACCAGCAGTCTTGGCCTTCAGATCAGCAGCCAAATTGACCGGCACTCATCTGTGGATGTCTCGAAATGTCAGATTTATCATATATTTATATTCTATTTGTGCTGCTTGCCAGTTGGTGGTGTCTGTGCTGTTAATGACTCTGGTGACGTGGGACATCTTAAGCTTGATTTATGCTTCTGTATTGAATGTGTACAGAGTAGCCGTAGGCTGCACAAGTGGCCTGCGCCGGTGTGAACATTTATACACGTGCTGGTGTCTGTCGCCCTGCAATAACACCACCAAAACACTAGGTGGCAGCGGGGTTTCTGTGCCACTGTGTTGTTTCTTCTAAGGCTGCATGACGATGGCTGAAGGTGTGCACTGGATTTATAACGCAAGACAAAACCAGAGCATCATTACCAAATGGAACGTGGCACAAAAATCGTTTTAGCTCAGTTATTTTGTTTTCATAATGATTGGAAGCCAAAATCGTAATTGTAAATTTGATTAAACTCCCAGCCCTTGTTTCTTTGTCACTTACAAACAGTGGCGGCTGAAACTGTGCAAATCATATTTGATTTAAAACCAATAGGTGTTGAACAGCAGTTACTTTTACTGAAATGAGTCCAACGCAGACATTAGAGGAAATACTGGAGGAGATGTGCTGTTCAACCATTGAACCAACTGAGACAGAATGAGGGGGGATTTTCTGTGTACGTGTTGTTTTTGCAGGTGTTTTTCTGTGTACGCATAATGAACACTGTTATTTATTCTGACTGATTGGATTAATAAGAGCTGGAATTGGATTTTTAATTTGATAAGATCTCTTGTGCTCTCTTGACCTAATTAAATTCTCAGTGAGAGTATTTGTTTAGATACCTTCAGCTCCAGAGGAGGGCTGTGTGTGTGTGTGTGTGTGTGTGTGTGTGTGTGTGTGTGTGTGTGTGTGTGCGCGTGCTTTTCAGTGGGTGGCGTATGTGACAGTTTAGCATGGTGCCAGTTCAAGCTCTTGAATAGCTCAAATGGCGGTCATGTGTAAGAGGTAGCTGTGCCTTGACTGCTGATAAGACGACTCCCCTGACACCCAAACACACCCACGTACTTGATCTGGTTTGATGTTTGTCTCAGAGGTCATGTTTTCGGGGTGCAGGTCTGCGGAAGTGAAACCAATAACAGAGAAACCATCTGATTCTTCTTCCTCCCTCCTCTGTAACAGCAGCATATTTTCAAAATGATAATCTTAAGTAAGGTTCCTGTAGTTAAGAGCAGCAGCACTGTGAAATGGATGTGTCAGCTGAATGGAAGGAAATAGAAAAATGGAAATGGTGTTTAAATGGATTATATTTTGCTTTGGAGGTAGTGGAGAAGCTGTAAATGCAACAGTGAATACATTATCACCATATGAAGCTGTTATAGCTGTTTTGAGACTTTCCAAGCTTAACTTAAGCATTTCCAGGTTACTCTTGTATGAACGTACACAAGATTTATTTCTTCTGCTGTTATTAGGATTAGGGCAGTAATGTTTTATGAGGGAACAGTTTGCTATTCTGCACCTTTATGATGGAAATTGAAGTCCAGTTTAAGTTTGCATCTGGAGAAAAACTAATGGTATCAAATGTACTCTACATGATCGTTTTGAGATGCAGGAGTTCACTCCCTGAAGCACATAACTCAAGTTTTCCGAGTATGGAAGATTTGGAGGCTTGTTTTTAATGACTGCCTTCTTATGTTTAATGAGAAAGTTGAATCAGCTTTGTGTAAATTCCATCCACTGTCTCATTACTGGGATTTATCATACGTAGGTGAAAAACGGGTTGGGGATACTAATTATTAGACTGTTCCACTACCTGTGTTCATCTTTGTTGTTGTTTCCCTCAGTCTCTATTCGTCCTCCATCGCTGTGCTATAGAAAAGTAAATAGGTTTTAGTTGACTGCTCCAGCAGACCAACTTCATCAGTAAATAAGACAGCTGGGCCCCGGAGCCTTGTCACAGCCATTTCTACCTCCCATAGAACATAATGATATACTCTGACCTGCAGTATTATGCATTGAAGCCACTTTCCATGCCTAAGGCTGTTCCTGTTGTACAGTAACATGGATTCTTACAGACAAATGACGGATTAAAGAAAGAGCTTGATTCCAGGATGACAATGCCCCCAGCAACCAGGTTGCTGTGGTGCTTTCAAACACATTCGCACACAGATTACACACAGAACCTGGTTGCTCTGAGTAACCTGCTTAGTTTAGTTTAAATGCACTGAATGACAGCTGCAGATTTTCAGAATGTAAGAACAGGATGACAGGGCAGAAAATGTTGAGAGATCCACTTTAAATACTCGTAAGCTCCGCCTGGTTTTTTTTTTTTTTTAAACAACATTTTTCCTGACTGAAAACTCGTGCACTCTCTGTACAGCTGTTGACTGGAGGAAGAGTCTCTCCCCTCTGTGCTCATTCCCTAGAGGAACGTGTCTCCCTGGTCTCCAACGGCAGCTGTGCTGTCAGCTGTTTGCTTCTCTAGTGTGTTTGCCTGTTTATTACTCCAATTCAGGGACGTTTTAATGCACTTGAAGAGATTTGCTGCCCAGCATTATTTGTTTTTAGGGCTGCAACCAGCAGTTGGTTTCTCTATTGATTAATCAGGTGAATGTTTTCATAATCACTTGATTAATTGTTTGTCTCTGCAATGCTGACAAGCCCAGGGTGGTGTCTTTACATTGCTTTTGCCAACGTTTGAGTAGCTTGAACCAGCAAATGTTTGTATTTTTGCTCAGAGGATAACAATGCGACTGATCCATTATCAAAATACTTGCAGATTAATCCTTTGTTAGTTGATTTAACCAACTGTTTCTCTTTCCTTCATTAATCATGCATACAATATCCAGAAAAATGATATCTGGGTATCCAAATGCCCAGTAGCTTGGTTGCTGAGGGCACTGTTTTCCTGGAATCAAGCCCTTTCTTTAATCCATCACTTGTCTATAAGAATCCAGGTTACTGTACAACAGGATTGATGAGGAAAAACTGAATGCTCTCCCAAGGCTGGAATTTATCAGCATTATATTTTCCCAAAATGTTGGCAAGCAACAAAGTTTATCTTCCCAGCCAACAAATCTGGCAGACAACCAGCCATAATTTGGGTATGCTTTATCAAACAATATTGCAGAATTGTTCTTAACCCAAATACTAAGAAAGGGCCAGAAATCGTGAGACGAATGCAGTGTGCTCCTGATCTTCTATTAGCATTGGCAAAGCACACTCGGTGTCCAGGTTAACAGCTCTGCCTGTGTCTTCCCATTAACGTAAGCTGCCTGTATTTGAATAAACTGTTAGAGGGGAGTCTTCAGGTTGTGCTTGTATTCGACATATTGTTGAGAAGGTCAAGACGCTGATTAAGTGACTCTGAATGTGTAGCTCACCTGCGATAGCAAATGAGTGCACAAGGGAAAATTGCAGCAGACGGGGTTGTCTTGAGAAATAGCAGCTGACTTTAATTATGGCGTGTTGATCAGAGGTTGGTGCAGAGGAGCACCACGGGTGGAAAGTAACCACAAACGGCAGCTCAGTGGTGAGCAGAAGAGGTTCTCGCCACCTGCACTGGTCAGATCTGGAAGTGGCTCGACAGCAACACAAGAGTGTCACAGTTCACTTCTTCTTACTGCTTGACTGCTGAAATTATTTAATTTTCTGATTAGGACGATAAATGTAAAGGCCCTGAAAACATACAGTATGTAGCAAAGGAGTTCCTCATGGAAACACTTTTTTAAATTTATTTATTTAAATCAACATTTGGTTAATTTCATGGGACATACTTATGTGTATATGTTTCCATCTTGAAGTCAGTGGGGCTCATTTGGAAAACTGTGATGTCACCAGTCACCTTATGGCAGCATATATGAACATGATGACAGTCATGAGGTTGTTTGCTCATGTTGACAGACTTTTTTCTAAATCAAACCTGATCTTACCTCCAATCTGTGAGAGGCAAACAGGTTCCTGAATCTCAGTCTCTTCATAAATGATAAGACTTTTTTTTCACAAACTTTTAGATTTTTGCTCAAATATTTAATGTTGTTTTATTTAATGTGCAAATTATTTTAAAATAAAATTATTTAAGCATAAGAAAGTTCAGATATTCCACACTGTAACACTAAAAGTTATATGCTTCTGTAGGGGAACCAACAGCCTAAAGGTTGTTTTCATTATTAGTGTAGTGTCCAGATTATTAGCTGTTGGAAGTATAAACTCTCTTAAATCAAAATGACATTCAGTAACATGTTGTAGGCTCTGTTTGAAATTGTAATGAATTGCACATTGATTGGGTGAGTGAAGGGCAGAGGGACTGTTGGTCACAAACAGTATTTCATCCAGACTGCTGAGTATTCGCCCTCTTGTCACCACCACTCTATAAATACAGTTTGTGCAGCTCACATACTGTATAATCTGTCTTGTTATATGTGGGCTGACTGAGTGGCATTTTGGATGCAATGTCAATAATATTGTGCACAGGTGACTAATTTTAATAAATGTGTGTCCCCTGTCTCATTGTCAGTAACTACAGTTTGACTTCCTGGCAAGGCGTTGAAACCATTTGTTTACAACAGACTCTGCAGAGAGGAGGAAAAACTGATGTAATGTTTGGATTTTATCTTTTGCCATCCTTAGCCACAATTGCTTTTTCCTGTTTGTTCTAATTACCGTTTGAGCAATGCAGGGTTTTGAAAGAAGATGTTGGTATTTTATAAGGCAGCACTTTTTCATCTACAGTAGCATAGCTGTTGTCCCTGGAGATTCTGTAGAGTCACCCTGTTTGCTAAAATTAAATACAGCTTGAGGCGACACTGACATCCATCTCTCCTCCTGTCGTCTCTACTTCCTCTCTCCATCTTTTAGCACTTAGCTCAGCTGTCTATAACCAGCCATATTGCTGTTGAGACTCAGCTACATCTCTGTTTCTAAATCCAAAGTGGACAT